ATTTCATTAATAAATTAATTTAAATTATTAATTGTTAATTTATTTATTACTAACAATCTTTTTTATTCTTGTTTAATGAATTAATAATATTAATAATTAGATTCTAGTAATAACAATAATAGTAAGGGAAAAGATGTTGAATCATCAATGGATGATTAATTTAATCTCCACTATAAATTTATTCATATAAATTATTTATTTATTTATCTTTTATCTTTTCATTTTATTCTTAAAACTTTACAATAATGTTTTGAAATAATAAATATTTTACAATTTTAATTTTTGTACCGAAGCAGAGAAATACTTTGAATCGGAGATTTTCCTTTTTCCTTACATTTGTGCATAACGAATGATGCTGGTGGAAACACCATTTGTGGTATAACATCACTGACGAGGATTCTTTGATAGAATCCAACATATTTTCCGATAGATTAGGGTGAAATACGTAACTTGATTAAACATCCAATTATATATACTGACTCTAATTCGCCATAGTGATATGAACCAGCTAAGATGATAAAAAAATTTCTCTCTTAACATTTATTTTGCGCCTGGAATTTCAGCGCAGAATTAAGTGGCATAGACACTTGGTTGAGATAGGTTCATCTGCATTACTTGGTATGACAAAAGAAAAAATACATTTGCTCAAAAAAAAAAAAGGTAATACTCGTAGTGTGATAAAAGGTACAACAAAGAAAGCAATAGTAATAGTTGGTTCTATTCGTAATACAATAAATTATTAATATTTGTAATATTGAGCAAGTCGTGATGATTAAATTTGAACCCTGAAAACCAACCATTGATCATCGTTCCTGATCACGATTTTGGGGTTTGGTCCTTTCGTGCTCAGATATCACTTATGGCCACGAGATTCAATAATTTCTTGAATCAAAGGGTTTCTGGTTCATAAAATCTGGTTGAAGTTCAAAAATTCTACAACAGGAATTTTGGGTAGGTAATCTTTTTTTAATTTTGTTAAAATTGGCAATAACCCTCTTTCCTTTTTTGTTTTTCATCAGGAAATTGATTTATTATCTTAATTTTTCCATCTTCAATAATTTATCTGTTTATTTTTTAATTTTACTTGAAAGACTCTTTGTGAAACTCGTTATTATTATAGTGAGTGTAAAAATTTTGAAAACAAGCAAAATAATGAATCTTGATGTAGCTTTAAGTTATAAGGGAGTTCAAATTAACTTAATAAGGCTTGGATTTTTTTTTTTTTAAGATATATAAATTGTGTTGTATGCTATTTGTTAATGAACTATTTAAAAAATTATTGCATTAAAAAATTTTTTTTATGCAAAAAAAAATAATATTAAATGATAATTGAATAATTTATTCAACTCTGTACAAACTAATATTACAAACTAATAATGATAAATCTTCATGATGCAGCTTCATTAACTTCTAAAATTGTCAATTCAACTCTTTCTAAAATCTTTCGACTTGCACTTTTTACCATTTTATACATTCCCCAGAAAGCTTTAAGTACACCTAGGAGAATAATTATTGAAATAAATGCTGTTGTGATTATATCGACACGTCCATTAATTCTACCACCACCTCCTCCACCGGTTCCAAGTCTATAAGTATTCAAAGTTGGAAAAGGTCCAAACCACATTATTGAAATTAATATTTGTATGAATCCTACAAGTCCTACAAACATTATTCCTAATATTAAATGAGAAGAATCAATGGTGAATAGATTTGAAATTGTGAACATCTCTTTATTAATTGTCATTGCTGCCCCTTCATCCACTATATTACCATCATCATTAAATAATAAATCCTCTGAGACAGGTGGATAAAAATAAAAGAAAATTTTTGCTATAAAACCACCAAAGAAAACACAAAATGCAAAAAAAGAAATTGTTACAAATGTAAGAATAACTAATTTTTTATTATTAAATATAATAAATGTGTGTGTGTGTTGTAGATGATAATATGAATGAAATTAGAAAAAATTAATTAATTAAAATGCACATAAAAATATAGTTTAAATATAAGTATAATCCTTACATTCATTTGTAACATATTTTGCAATTGTTGTTCGATGAAATGCGTACTTGTATTTGCATTCATCACATTGAAAAAAACTTGTTCACTTTAAGCTACGCAACCTCCAACGATTTAAACATTCAACATGGACATACTAATTAATTATATTTTTTTTTTGATTAAAGAAATGTTAAAACTATATTAAAAAAATTTTTTGAAGATGATATCATAATAAGAATTTATATTGTAAAATTACCCTCATTGATCCTTTGCAACGACATGGTGATATCGATCGTCCCAAATTATCTTCATCCTCAGGACCTGAAAAACATATCCTACACATCCTGTCATTATTATCATCAGTTACATGTGAATCTGACTTTATTGAATTAATTTCTTCAGTAATTGCTTCTTCGCGATCTTTATTATTTTTAAAACTTTGTTCATTATCGCTTGAAGCTTGTTGTATACTACTACTACTTCCTGAGGAAGTCTCATATTCTAAGATATCATCATTATCGCTGTTATTAATAATTTTACTATTGGTAATATTGTCATGCGAGTTAAATCTATTTGATAAAGTTTGATCATTCTCAGCAGTATCAGTTGTAAGTAAATAATTTACAGAACTTGAATAGACTTTTGTTTCTTCGGGTTGAGTATCTAACATTTATGTTATTTAAAAATTATGTAATACAAATTTGTCAAAATTAAAATATGGTCCTATAACTGACAACAAAAGTCCGAAATTTGAATGTTAATCACATATGACAATCACAAATCAATCAGGCCACCTCCATAAGGTCACACACCCTCTAAGATCACATTTTGTTAAGGTCACACTTTTTCATTATAATAAAATTCCCTCTATAAGGTCACATTTCACTTATAGTCACTGTCACTTTTTTTGACTCCAAATATATTAAATTTGACCTCTGTAAGGCCACGCCACGTTATTAGCGATCAGAAAAAATCCATAAATTTTCCTTTGTTAAGAATGGATAATGCAGAGTAAGCATGAAACTTTCCTTTCGCCAAAAAATTTTTATTCATGGTGATAATATTAAGATTAAGAATAATTCAAATAAGAATTGTATTTTTAACCATTCAAATAAAAGCTGGTTAGACTTTTTCCTTGCAAAATTGTATTATTATTAGCACAAAAAAATTAAATTCATCTATTTGTAATCGAGTTACACACATTCATTCTTCAAATGGATTGTTAAATCAATGACCAACATCCAACGTAATTGTGAAATAATCATAAAATTTTATTATATCCCCTATAAGAAACGCATACGGTCACTCCTTGTAATAAATTAATACTAAATTACTAACGGTCCCTTGCTATTACTAATGGGTGTATATAGTTAAAGTGTTCTCAACCTTGCCAAAGAATCCTTGGTACTAATAGAATAACTCAAATTTGTACTTCACTACCCATTAAACAACAACTTTATTTACCCATTGCGGATTGATACAACTTGATGTTTTTATCAAAAAAAAACCCCCCTAACAACAAATGAATGTTTAATTTATATAATACATATGCGTACATAATAAAAAATCTAAAAATAATAATTGATAGATAGTTTAAATGATAAATAACAAAATAAAATAAAACAACTAACAATCTTCTGGATCCATCGGTGGACTTTTTTGATGGTTATCATCAGTCTAGTAGATTTCTGCAATTGATGAAAGATTTAATGATTCAGCCTGCTAAATTGATTCATATAGTAGACGAGTTATATAGAATGATTCATAATTCTTTGTATCCGACAGAAACTTGTCTGAATTGATGATTTCTTGTCGTTTAGTTTCTGCTAATCTAATGATTTCTTGTTTTTCTTTGATTACTTTAAAAAAATGATGTTCTTTAATACGATACTTAATTCCGTTAGCGGTTGGCCTATTCTTTGGATCATGGTCCCAACATCTTTTCATCGATTCAATGTAGGATTTGGGAGCATAATCAGTGATTTGAGGTCTAGCATAAGGTAATGATCATGTGATATATCACAAAAAGGTTTCTTTCCCGTAGTATGGTTCCCATATTATCATTATTTTGTAGATGGTTCGTCTGATAATACTTCAGGTGCCAGGCATGGAATGACACCAAAGTTTTTATTTGGATTGTCTTTTAATCGGCTACTTGTTGACATAATCCCATCAAGATTTGCACAGCGGTAATGTTTTCTCATATAATCATTATAGTAGTTATAATTATTTTACCAAACATTTACAAAAAAAAAAAAAAAATTTACAAAACTTACTCTCTTGAAATATCTATCATAAAGTGAACTAGTTTTGTCATTCCAACCTATAAAAAATAACATACGGAAAAACAGTACATGAACCGTACGTTTTCCTTCAATAATTTTAAAAATTTTTGATAAATTATTCCATTTTTGGCATATTCGGTTAACATGACCGTCGTAATTGTCATTAAATTCATTATTTGTTTTAACTAAAAAAAAAGTTAAGCTATTAAAACAATTATTTTTACGTGAAATTCCGTTTAAAGCGTAGGTAATAGTAATAATATTAATATTAATATTGGACTTTTATCTCTTGCTATAATTATATAACCTTTTCAATAAAAACCAAGTTGCTTTATGAATTTCTGTAAAACCTCCTTTAGCAAAAAATTAAATGGAATCCATTGGATATTTTGTTTACGAAAAAGAAGTTTATCTTTTTGTTTATTTCCGTATTCATCGGTTAATTTTTCAATTCCTTTTTGCAATCATAACCAGAATGATGAATTGTAGATCAATGACAGTGATCGCAACCACCACCTTCTCTTGACAATACTCACACGGGCGTATCCAATCTTCCTCATTGTTTTCTTTTCTTCTGTCGTTTTCTTTCTATCAAGGAATTATTTTTTTCAAAAAAAATTTCTGACAAAATAAACGCGTAGTGTGCAAAAGTAGAGAGTAATAAATAGTATTCGTAGCGCCTCCTTTCCGTGAATTTTTATTATATTTAAATTAGGAACGTAAGAAATTAATTTTTTAAATATAAAAATTATTTTGACCAAGCAGAAAATGACTAATGACTATGAACTATGAACTATCTACTATTATCTAGCAACTACTTGACTAATTATTTCATTAACAATTCAGATAAGAGCAGAGGCAGAAAATTCTGTTAACTAACTCGTTTCTATAACAAAAATTTTACAAATTAATTCTTTTCGTTTAATAAAAAGATTTTAAAATTAAACAGTAGTTCAATTGGTTGTCAGAAACTCTGAGGTTTTGCAACTTGGTTTTGGTTATTTGCTTTGGTAAAAAGCAAAGGTTTAATTTTGGTGTAAACGTTTTTGTTTTTGTTTTTGTTTTATAAAAGAATGTTTTCGTGTAAAGGTAAGATTGTTTGGTCAGATATATAAAAGCGTCGAGTATTGTTGCAAACGTACAGCTGAGTTTAATCGGTTAAAGAAAAGTGAATGAACAAGGAACTTTAGCAGGGTTATGTTTTATTTATTGTTAGTTGCCGCCATAAAGTGTGCTTACAGATTCATCGAAACTTTCTAGGTACAAGAAAGAGGCAATAAGTGGGATAAATTCGTAAAACAAATTAATTGACGAGCAATTAATCGACGAATGCAAAAGTTAATTCAGACTCGACCATAAATGTAGCAGTAGCAGTGTCTAAAATTGATGTGCGGAATGCTTTCTCCGAGCATAATAATTTATTTACGCACAATATAATTTTCGAGATGTGTACCGTCCGATCTCAATTTATCTTTTATACTATCTTGGTTATAAAAATTTAAATCCAACCACTTAATGTTAATAAATCATGTGGTTTATTGTGAAATGTAAAAAACTACTAAACCCAAATAACATAATGATAATAATGAATACCTAAGAAGAAAAGGTTAAATTGAAGAGGTAAAAAACTCAACATGAAATATAAGTTATTGAATCAGTTTCATCACGAGATTCTACACAAGAATGATAATTACCATTTTTATAATAAAGAGACACCATTCGAATAATACATGCAATATTTTTGATGACAGCAACACCAAAACAATTAATAGTTATTGGAAATAAAGGATTTATTTGTTAAAGGAATTCCAAGAAAAACTGATGGAATGATGTTGAGATGCATCAATGCATGAAAAAAGTTTATTGATGACTAAATTGAAAAAATTTAGTAATTGCTTTGATAATTTTCTTTCCTGTACACTCATTTCCGATTTATATAATCTTCATCAAAGGGAGGTTTAATGTTATTTTATCATGTAGCTTGAATATCATCTTTCGGAAACTTCTGAACAGGCTTATAATTTAAAAGATGCTGTTTACCATATTTTTTTTTGCAGATCCAAAATTTTTCATTACATTGTTAAGATTAGTTAATATCCTATTTTATCAAAAATTTAATTTGTTCCTAGACGTTAAATGGGGATATAGCTCAGTGGTAGAGCAATCGACTGCAGATCGATAGGTCACTGGTTCAATCCCGGTTGTCCCCTTTACTATCCGTTTAATAAAAAATATATAATTTTCAAAATATTATCATTTTTTTTAATGAACCTTACTAATAATTAATATAAAAAAGATCAATAATTATTGTTGAATCTGAATATGAAGATGACGAAGTTTTTCTTCAAAAATAATGATTTATGAGTATTCCGCAAATATCATAAAAACCAGAAAGTACAAAAACTTCATAAAAGAAAGAACTCTAAATTTCTCCAATAAATAATAAATATTCTTTGATTACAAAATTATTTTTTCTTACAAAATAATTGGCCAATTCAATTATAATAAATAGATTATACTATTTCGGACATGATATGGGCCTTGTTCTTGTTGGATCAAAGAAAAAGGCTGTTTGGTCTTTAATTCACCTAATATTGAAGAAAGTGAAAATTCAACAGAGTCCAAAAATAAGCTTCAACAAAATGGGCCGTGAAAACCAGATTCTGAAGTTGTTAAGATTGTGTCTTTTGGCAAATAAATAAGTTTCGTAGTCAAAAGTTTCCCATTAATTATCTCAAAACCATCAACCTCCTAGCAAAGAAACAAAGAATATATAAATAAATTTATAATGATAAATAAATAAATTAGTTAATTAGTTAATTTTTTTACCATTTCAAGTAATTGTTCTTTAGTTGGATAATTGCAACTTGATATTTCCATTCTACAACCAAAATACATAATTTATATAAAATATATATAATTTATATAAATATATATATATATAAGAGAGATAATATTTACTTGTCTTATCGTTCCATAGAACATGATTAACAGAGTCTCACTAATCCTCCTAATTGATGAACTTAATTTTTTTTTTAATTGTTGATTTGTTGGAAATCAAATGGAATAGTTCATATGCATTCTAAATGAAGTATATTACATTGCAGGTATAACAATGATTTTATCATTATATTTTTCTTTGGCAATTTTTTTGTGCAATTAATCCACCTTTAATAGTACTATGATCACTAACAATTATGGTGTTATATCCGTTAGCTTTAAATTTTTTTTTTAAATTTAAATCCTATTTATTTATTTTTATTACCAATTGACCATTATAACAATTGATTAGGATTCATTTTACTGTCAGAATAGATTGTAAGAGTATGACCGTCCATTAAAAATATTTAAAGCGCCAAAATTTTGATTCATTCACTTAGTAGATAAGTCTTTAATTAAATTCAAGGAAATAATTTTATATTTTAAATATATTATTAGAAATTTAAATTCTATAAAATAAGATTTAACTGTTTTCTATGATAACCATTATTTGTGGCATTATTTTGTTTCTATATATGGGCGTCTAAATTGTTTTTGGGGGTCAAAATAGTATTTAGACAAAAATGTCTAAATGATAATGTGCTTTAAATGCAACTAAAAGTCACGTGAATATACACAAAATCCACAAAGCTCAATAAATTATCCAATAAAAATTCAATTTCAACTAAATGTCTAAATTAATTTATATTTTAAATAATTTAGTTTAGACATACATCTATGGTTGTTTCTGGCTCAATCCCATTTACTGCTGATGTTCGTCATTATATTATTATCACTTGGGTTAGATTGGTGCCCAATGTGAACTCCGGCCAATATTAGTGTTGTTGTACAAGAAAAAATAATATATTGACGTGTTTGTATTTCACTCCCTTTCCCTTTTTAACGTTAATAAGAAAAAGCCAAAATTCTTTAGCAGATACAAAAAGGCAAATATTGTTAGAGGTGAATAATTTAAGGGCTATTCTAGTTTCTAGTAATTAATTAATTCATTCGACAACAAATTGTTTAACTAATAGAGGGATTAGTAGAAAAGTTTCTTGATTATATATATAGTTTCTAATAACAGCACAATATATAGATTTAGGTAGCAACGCTAGTTTATAAAAGATGGAAAATATTGATTGATTATAATGATTCAATATGGATAAAAGATCTTCGAATAATGGATATGCTTTAGACAAGTATCAATTTGTGTATATGACAAATGTATTATCCTACATGTATATATAACGAAAGATTGGATGCTTATAAAGCAAGATCTTGCAGTAGCAATTGGTAGTGTTATACGTGAAAATGTGAATTTGAAATTTATTAATTAACTAGAGTTACTATTACCACCACGTGTAACTTACTAACACAGTTATATATATATATCAATATGGTGATACTTTTAATTTTCAATATTTATTGTAAATAGATTTCCATAAAATTTGAATTTGAAAAAATTCTTTATACAACAAAGAAAATAAAAATCAAATCAATTTTGAAGTTTGTTTTGCTGCCAGCTACTTAACAAACCTCCTAATTGATACAAAAAAAATAAAAGTTTATTTGCCGCCGGCTGCTTATAAATTTTCTATATTATAATTAAAAGAATAACGATAGTAGGAGAAGTAGAAAGAGAAGTAGAAAGAGAAGTAGAAAGAGAAGTAGAAAGAGAAGGAGAAAGAGAAGGAGAAGGAAGAAAAAATAAAAAGCATTTATTATTAGCTTAAATTAATAAAAAAAAAAAATATTTTATATCCGTGTGCATTATTCTTCGAATAAGCCCAAAAATCTTATTAGCACCTCCGCTTCTTAAAGTCTTTTGCAAAATGGTGTTTCTCTTGGCGATAATCCACAAGTTTTTGTGTTGGAATGTGCAAAATTATTCCAACAATGCATGCACGAACCTAGGTATGATTTCATTATGTTGGGTCATTTTTCATAGTATGACCATAATAACAACATAATAGCAAAAATCAGGGTTCCTTGAAACTTTGTAGTGGTAATGGTAAAGTCGGTTTCATTTCTTTTTTTTTGATCGTGGAGCATAAATATTGTTTGTTGCTCTTTATCCGAATTTAATTCTGATTCTAAATATTTTTCAACTAATTTGTTATAATAAATGCAATGTCTTTGTGCAGCTCCAAATAGTCTTTGTTATCTTTATTCTTATCACCCATAGTGATGTTATTGATGTTATTGTTATGAAGTAGTTTAATCTGAGGGCATAGGGTTATGACCCCATGCGTGTGAATAGACCCGCACCCCAAAAAATATCACGAAAAAAAGGTGCGTCTCCGTACTTATAAATACTACGTCTCTTTACCCTATCGATAGGTCGTCCTTTATGAGATGACTAGAGACTCCGGGTTTATGCAAATTATATACACTATTATTTTTTGTTAAAAAATCATTTTTATAATAAATTTATAATATTATATAATTTTAAATTAAAATATAAAACATTAATATTTCTGAAAAATTATGTCATCTATCACTTCAAATATTTTTGTAATGTGAAAAGCTTATCCACCCCAGACACTGGAAGCCACATATATTCTAAAGCAGCCCTAGAAAGTAATGATAAGATTTATTGTTTATCGGTCCAATATAATCCAAAAATTCATTATCTCCACAATAAATACTCATTCATTGATCAATTCATCTTCTGGTTTTATAAATTCCTTGACATATGAATATAGTTGGGGCTCCAAGCAGATCAAAACAGATCAGAAATCCGATCCGATCTGATTCTTTAAAATATTGAATCTGATCTGAAATATCTTATGCATAACTTCTGAGTTTAAGACTTTATGAATTTCACGAATTAAGAAATTACTTATGAATTTTGATTAACTGCATATATATATTATAATGACAAACATCAATGTATCAATTATGAATATTTATTAAAGAAATCTATTTTAATATACTGAAGAAAAAATTCTTTGCTCTTGTAAAAAAGAAATTATTATATTAATATATAATACATTCACTATATGGACAAAATTTTGGCACGCTTTTAAACAAAAATTGTATAAAAAACGTATTTAGTAATAATTGAATAAAAAACACGATTTTGCAGCTTAGTATTAGGTCCACCAAATTATATCAACCAAAAATTCCTTTTATTTTTTTAATTTTAATTTTCCTAGGCATGATAGAAAATCTAGATTTGCATGTAAATTTTGAGAATCAAAGTTACGAAATGATATAAATTATTTGTTTTTTTTTCGTGCAATTTTTGCTTGTACATAATTAATTGTCCGCCAGATCTGGATCTGTTCTGTTCTCTGATCTGCCTTAGGTATAATCTTTAACATCATAGATTTAATAAAACATTTGAGTTTAGTTGAACCCAATTCATTTTATCAAATTTTTCATAATATTTTTAAAAGGAAGCAATTATTACAGCATCACTAAGCTGAATTCTTGATGTGGAGTTTATTTGCAAGAACTTAACATTGTATTCTTTAAATCTACACCTTGCTTGAATAATATAATAAAATCAGGAAATTTTTTGGGTGTAACCATTATGGCTTGTCATTATGAAATGAGCAATTAGAATATTTAAATGAGAATAAGGGTAAAGTGAAAATACTATATATTCAAAACTTCAAAATTAAGTCAAAGATTAAAAATGCAAAAACCTGAACTGATAAAACAACAAAGTTACCATTTTGCTTTTTTTTCTGTTAAACTAAATCAAACAAAAGTTAAAATGAGCCAAGTGAAAGAAGAATAAATAAGCTTAGCATGCATGAGTTTATTAATTGCTGTCTATACTATACAGAAAATAATTTAATATATCACATTATTGTTGTGACTTTAATGATTTTGAGTCCTGAAATCTTTTACGTGATGTAAATGTTCACTCTGGTATGTAGTACATTAAAATATAATACCATTTAAGGGTAGAGTATATGTAATAGTAAAATTTGTGTAATTCATCAAAAATTCACCAACTTCAAGCAACTTCGTTAATTTTGTATAACTCTTTTCTCATCTGATCAAAATTGTTATTGCTATTGCTTCTATTTTGAATACTGTTATTATTACTACTAACAACAAGACCGCCATCTTTATTACCAACAATAATGCTACTACCACTACCATTACCACTAATAATAAGACTATTGACTGTGTTAATTTTATTTTTACTATTATTATTGCTAACGATCAATTTCCCAGTTTTCAGCCACGCCTCATAAGCTTGATATCTACTTTTAACACCGCTATTTGCGTAATGATTTGATCCAGCAGCTTGTAGAATTGCACATTTTTTCGGAACTTCTAAATAATCATAATAAACTTTTTCATCTGCCGGAATGTTCAAGTCGGTTATTGGATTTGGAAGATTGGCACGTTTAACATAGTTGGCATAATGATGATATTCTGAATGACTTGTAAGTGATGGGTCTGTGTCACTTGTTGGTGTTGATGTTAATGAAATATTTTTAATTTGACTAATGTACCTACAATAATAATAATATAATGAAAGTTATTTATTATTATTATTATTATTATCATTATTATTATTATCAAGGAAAGAAAGAAAAAGTTTGATTGATCATACTGTTTATATTCTTTTGCTTCACTTGATGAAACGCTTGGGTTTAAACTTTTTTCAACAATTGATTCGATCAATGAATGAATATCTCTATCTTTCTTTTGCTTCTCTTTATCTTTTTCCTCCTTGATTTTCGCTTTTTCTTCTTCGACAATAGTCCCTTTTGTAACTTTGTTAGCCGGTAAAGCGAGCCATTTCTTTAATCCTCCTATATTCATCAATCTTTAGGAAAGAATCATTAATTAATCATTAATTAATATGCATAAAATAAAACTAAAAAAGTATCATTCATACTTTGTGCCTTGTGGATTTACTCGAACAGTGAAAGGACTGTAGTCATAAGTTGAAAGATTTGCGCTAATTTCAAAATACACAGTTATATATGTCAAGTAAATAAATAGATTTAACATTGATAAAAAAAAATCATCATCAATTATTAAATTACCTTGTCGGTATATATTTTGTTGTACTATTCATAGTAAAAGCAAATAATTTTTCAAATGATGTAATTGACCTTGGTCCATAATATTCTATCCAATAACCTTTATCAGAATCTTCTTCCTCATCAAATTGTCTTGATAATCTTGATACAACTTGATAACGAGCAATATCATGTTGTCCATCTTTTTGATTTAGTGCATCACTTGTCCACCAATTAATATAACTTTTTTTTTTAAATATGCGAGTGTGCATAAACTTTATTAGGATAACTGTTTATTTGTTATTGTGTTTGTGTGTGTGTGTATATATATATATATTACCTTCTTCTAGCTCTTCTAAATCTAGGAGGATCCATGAAATGTAATTTATAATCATTTGTCAAATCCCATAACGCAGGAAGATCCTGATCTCTTTGAGGATAATGTCCAAGGAAAAGATTCATTGCATCTTGTTTATCTCTATCTATTTTTTAATAAATATAAACATATTGATATTATAAAATAAACAATTATTACTTGATTTTTTTTAAAAAAAAAATATTACCTTGAAAAGAATTACTATAAAAACGTCTAAGATTCTCAATTAAATCTCTGGAATGACTTGTCCATTGATTGATTTTACGATAAGAATCTATTGTATTAACAAGATTTGATCCTCCGTATTGAAATGCAATTGTATCTCCATGATCATGATACATATCCGTTAACATGTTTACTACATCTGAATCAACATGTACTTTTGGTTGATCAATTATTCCCAATGCATATAACTTTATGTATGTGCACATGTGCATGTGAATGTTAACAATGAATAGATTAATAAGGTGGTAAGATAACATATTTAAGTTTTTTTTTTTTTAGCTTTGATTATTTTTTTTAAAAAAAATGTACTTTACCTGATGACCTAAGGCACATTTACCAATAATTAATTGTGCCGCGTTTGTTCTATCTAAACAATCAATACAATTTGTTCTAACAACTCCATTTTGACGAAGATGCATTCTTTGATTTTGTGGTACACCTTGACTTTAATTAAAAAAGGTTACTACTACAAGTACATACATGTATCCATAATATCCTCAATAAATATTTATATAATATATATGATACAAACATCTCTTCTCTTTTTATTACATTTATAGAAGCTTCTGGTCCACTATGAAAAAAACCTGTATCAGCCAAGTATTCTTCAGCAAAAGTTTCCATCAAATCCATAACATCCTCATCACTTTTTTTAAAATAATTCAATAAGTAAACTTAATTACATCTTTATAATCATTATAATTACAACTATCAAGTTAAAAAAAAACATACCCTTTTCTAGCTTTTGACATATCCCAAGCTTTATATTTAAGACTATTTTCAGGTAAGAACTGTGTTAGATAGTTTATTGATTCTTCTAATTCATCGCCCAAAATTGATTCTCTACGATTTTTTTCTTTGGTCTTTTGTCAATAAATTATTAAATAAAATAGACAATGATTATATTAAGAAAATCATTACAATTTCATCCCCTTCCTCTCTTTCTCTTAGTTTTTGAGAAGTTCACCTTTATAAGATTCAAAACTATTATCGGTGCACCATAACGTTGAAACATATTATCAAAATGTAATGCAGCTGCTGAATAAAACGGGTCTCGGAAGTTTACTTTTTTTGTAATAAATTATATATGTAATAAAAATTGAATAATGATTATGAAAAAATACAATCAATCAATCAATCAATCAATCAATCAATCAATCAATCATTTAATTAAAGAGAATTATTTTACAAACATGTTATTGGAGGTTTTGGTATCATGTTGGCAACATCTTGAGACCAGTATAAAGGAATTGAACCACGGTGTTGAACATATGATGTATAGTTGGGATTATTACATGATCTATTCCCCGAATGATTAAAAGATGTTGTGCTCATTTCAGATACTATTTGTTCAGTTTCTACATCGTTTGCTACATAACCCTTTTTTTTAAAAAAATATATTATTTGTTTTATTTTATTATAAAAAGCCACTTGTTAATTTTACTTACTTGATCATTAACACCACGTTTCAAAAATCTCGCACCGGCAAAATAACGAGATCTTCTAGCTATCAATGTTACAAAAATGTTTCTTCCAAAAATTGAGATTTCTATAAAAACAAAGTAAATCATCATAAAATTACTTTAAATAGTCATACAGTTATTTCTTTCTTTTTGGTTCATTTTATTTTATATTTATTTCAAGCTCACTTGATTGATCCACAAAGCCATTAATTATTGGTAGAATCCAGTCAGAATCCTTTTTTAAACTACGAAATCCATTTTCTAATAAATAATGATTCCATACAAACATTTCATTGTATGAAAATTTTCTATGGTTTTCAGGCCTAGACATATTATTTTGAAGTGTGTGTGTAATATCATAGGTGTAACTAAAATAAAAATTCTTTGTTAAATCAACATTATTAAAGATTCCAATGTATCTATAATAATAATAATAACAATAATAATAATATTATTATTATTGGAAAAAGAAAAATTAATATTAGTAATCTCATCTTGGATCACTTTAACAGTGTAAACAAAAAATCAATTAATTTCACACCTTTGTTCATCGGACTTCTTTTCTACTCTAGTATTTGGTCCAATCGGTCTAAGAACCGTATTGTCAATATGATAGATGTAATGTCCGCCTATCAAAGCGACAGGGCTTTTTTCCGTAATCAACGAAATATAATATCCTTCGGTAAATCGAATGAAGCCAACTATCCCGTAAGCAGTAACAACTTTGTGTAAACCTCCAGAAATTCTATTTCCTTCATCGAGAACTGTCAATATATCGGTTATTTCTTGTTTTGAATAAATTACATCATCATCTATCACATTAAGCTCTGTTGGATCCGTTGGAGTTGTTCGATCAATCTTTAAGATACGAAATCTGTTATCACTTTGATTTGATCCAATTAGATAATAATTCTGAATAAATAAATAAATAAGTAAATGTTGAATGAATTGTGATAATTTATAATGTAATAATGGTAACAATTTTTGTTATTACCGTTTTTGTCTCGTATAATGTAAACTCGTTTAACACCAGTCGATGAGAGGTTTTATCATCCATTATAGTTTGTCGATATAACTAACTTTCTTGCCAAGTTTGAATGTGTAAATCAAATTTTTTAAAAAAATAATTTCATTTAAAAATTGTGAAAATGAAAATGAATTAGCCAATCAAAAGGAATTTCGCACTCAATTATGAACTCCATATATATACTTATTGAAAATAAAATTTCGCCCACACATTAAAACCGTTGATCAAACTTCTTCTTTATTTGCTAATTTTGCCAAAGAAGAGAAAAAATTACAATAAAAATTGATTTTTTAGCAGCAATTTAGATGCTTTATAATAACGATTAACATTTACCTTTAACTCCTGATGCATGTTTGGTTAACGAACATATTGTCAAGCATAAAGGTAAACAACGTTTGGTGATTAACATAAAGGATATCATGGAGTTTAATCCGCAAACTGGCACAACAAAGGGGAATTGGGTTGAAGCAGTTAATCGACTTGCTAATTTGACTGATTCGAGACTTGAGAAAAACAAAATCATAAAATATGTTGGAATGTAAATTTTTTTACTAGTACAAAGTTCTATTACAGTCAGCAAAGTAGTATTTTTGGATGCTTTTAAACCGCTTTTCTCGTATGCTATGAGTTTTTTGCTCTCAAAATGAGAAAAATTGGATCTTGATTTAAATTTTTGGTTGAATACTTATAACGGTGATGTAGATGAAAGGAACCATGTAGTTAATTATTACAGCATATATGGACCGGAATATGATGATGGTGATCCAAATTCTAATGCTTATAGACGACTCTATTACAGCGTTCTTCCCATATACAAGCGGTGGCGAGAAAACCGCAGGTAATTGTATTGAATTGTACGATTTTCCTGATAGAATAGTTGATATCAAAGAAGCTGAAAAGTTGAAATTTATTGTGGATTTATGCATCCGGAAGGCCAAAGTCAAATTCCCCCCGATTGAAGTTGAAACAGTAACAAATATTGGTTAATAACGAAGCAACAGTTTCACCTGTTATTGGTTGTGCTGTTCTCGATGACAGTGATACACATGCATAACCCGATTATGATGGTATATTTAGTTTTACCCATTTACCATGTTTTTTCATTACCCTACGAAAGTTCTAACCGTCTATACCTAACCTTCTAATTTTTTTTACCCAGAAAAAGGGCATGTCTATGTAATTTCCTATTGATATATTATCAATATTTTGCGAAATACTATGATGCGACGGACGTTAGTACGAAAATGGAATAGTTTAATTGATAGATGGCAGAAGTCGGATTATTATTAATAAAAAGGAAAAAAAGAGGGGAGAAAGGCACTTATAAACAATATCCTTTTTGTAAATTTCCCAAGCGCACGAATTCTTGATGGTTGAGAGTCTTTAATTACCCGCCTGACTCATCCAGTTAAATAAAAGAAGTTATGACAAAGAAAATATTTATTATGACTTTGTGCTTTCTTTTGAGAAGCGAATTCATTTTGTGTCTTGATGATACAGTTATTTGCTTGTTCCAATGATGAAGTTCCACGTAAATACAAAATTTTAGTTATCTAAAAATTCAAGATAATTATTAATTATTTAATTACTTATTTATTACTTACCCATGATAATGATTTCAGAAGGCTTGTCCTGGGCATCAGAAGCACATCCAAGTTTGATACGAATCAATTGTCTCTGTTGATATTAAATTTGGATTTTTTATATTTATCAATGAAAATTTATAATTTTTCTTCTAACAATCTTGGTTATCTTTTGTTTATGAAAAAAAAATCATGCAACTTTCTAACAAGCTGTTTATAAAAAAAAAGGTTACTTTGTGGTTCTCTGCTCATACTATGTAAATAAAGATCCAAAAAATGAATAGGTCCTTCTTTACTGGTGTATTTGGAAAACTGGATTTGTTAATTTTCAATCAGTATTCCCAGGAAGATTCTCAAGAATTTCAGATAAGATCTTTATCATTTTTTGTAATTCCAAATAAAGTTTATTTGAATAGAAAACAAATAATCCAACATGTATTATTAACACAAATAGAAACCCTACACTCAAAAATTACCAACTACTGCTACTATTATCCTAGCGACTATTACTATTGCTAAAGACAAGTTTAGGCTTGTTAGAATTTATTTTTATTTCTATTTCTCCTTTGGACTGTTTGAAGTCCTAGTTTTAAATACTGCTTCAAGAGAATATGACATGTTTTAAAGTTATTTTGTTAATACTTTAAGGGATTTAATTTGTTTATTCCAAGGAATATTTTGCTTGAATAATAAATATTATTAAATGATTGAAAGAATGTAATGGCTTACTACATTCATGAGCTGGTTTAAGTAATCAAGGGATGAAATAATTAAATGGCTGCAAAATAACCTTGCTCAGAGTTTGCTAACTTCTTTTTTATTTATTATTATCTTAGGTTCAGCACTTGAAACAAGATATGATGATGATATTTTATTATGTGATGGTTATTAAACCATAAAAAAATTAATTTATCAATTTGCATTCATTCGGAGTTTTATAAAATCATGTTTCAAAAAAACAGTTGCCCAAGATATTTTTTTCATCAAACTATTGTTATATTACATGTCTAAAATCCCTTTATAAATGTATCTCAGTTTGAAAACAGTATCAATGAGTTATCAAGAATATCTTCATGATAGAGAAGTTAACTGTTAAAGCCCATTGATATAGTAAAAGTTAGAAATAAGAGTAGAATTGTTTGTTACACATCATTCATAAAAAATTTTTAATATTAAATTTACCTTTTTCCAAAATAAATTTATAAAAAATTATTAAATAAAGTTATAATGTCACATAATAAATTATTATCATCAGAAAGAAGGAACTTTGTATATAAAATTCGTAAAGAAATGTATAATAATGCTCTGGCTAATTCTGAAAATTCTGAAAGTAGAAAAGATTATTTTTTTTCATTAGTTGAAAAAAATAAGGAGCTTTTTGAAAATGAAAAAAATTATTGTAGAGAACAATTCATTTATTGGGCTGAATTAAATAATGTAACAAATAAATGGGGCAAACCAAAAGAATGTAACAAGTGTAAAATAACAAGATATTCTGATAGATTTTGTGAAGGTTGTATTAGTTTACAACTACAGAGTCTTTTCACTAATTGGACATCTGGAAATAACATAATTGATAATTTTATTCAACAATGTCAAATGAAATCATCTCTGCCAACTTATATTT